CTTGTAGTTCTGTATAGTAAGAACAAAGACTTGACTTTAAGAATAATAGATGAGTGACTTGTAGTTCTGTATAGTAAGAACAAAGACTTGACTTTCAGAATAATAGATGAGTGACATGTAGTTCTGTATAGTAAGAACAAAGACTTGACTTTCAGAATAATAAACGAGAGACGTGTAGTTCTGTAGAGTTAGAAAAAAGACTTGGCTTTCAGAGCAAAGACTTTAACTTTCAGAATAATAGATGAGTGACTTGTAGTTCTGTAGAGTAAGAACAAAGACTTGACTCTCAGAATAATAGATGAGTGACTTGTAGTTCTGTAGAGTAAGAACAAAGACTTGACTTTCAGAATAATAGATGAGTGCCTTATAGTTCTGTATAGTAAGAACAAAGACTTGACTTTCAGAATAATAGATGAGTGACTTGTTGTTCTGTAGAGTAAGAAAAAAGACTTGGCTTTCAGAGCAAACACTTTAACTTTCAGAATAATAGATGAGTGACTTGTAGTTCTGTATCTGAATGCAACTTCTTAAAGGTCAAAATTATAGTTCAATGATCACCTTAAAGTGGAGAAGACTTTACTAAGTTATGAAATTTGTGTCTATAGATATAAGAAGATGTGGTATGAGTGCCAATGAGACAACTCTCCATCCAAGTCAAAATTTATAAAAGTAAACCATTATAATCCATTTGTCCTTTTGAACAATAAAGTATGTTAAAACTATACCTTTAAGAGAAAAAGTTGCCTCAATGGTCTTGTGATAACATGCTCACCTCAAATGCCCCATAGGATGTAGGTCAGGTCAAAGAGGGTGGTAAAGGGTTATTTTTGTGCAACGTCATCGCCGTTTTTTATTTCACGTTCAACGTGTTTTTACTTTTTTATTTGACGTTCAGTCGTGCGAGACAGGTGCCTCATTCAACGTTTCTGCTTATTTAATTTTACGTGCATCGTGATTTTCAAATGCTTATTTTGCGTGCTCGGTATTTTTCAAATAAAATTCAAACACTTGGCAGGGATCGTCAAGAAAAAAATGAATTCAATTTTGTTTTTTGATAAAGCTGAAAGGCCTTTGATGTTGTTCCTTATCGATTTTGAAGCTTCCAAGATATATGTACTGGTTTGGCCTAACACATTGCTCATTAAGTATTAAGTAACTACATCACACTGACATTTTATTGTCTAAACAAATTTGTAACGGGCCATACATATTTATTTTTGTCGTATTCTTTCGATTTGATTCAGTTTGCGAAACGTTCAAAATCGTTGTACCATATACTATAGTCCTCTGGTATGAATATGTTGATGGATTGCTGTATTGCCATATATGTCTCTAGTTCATGATTGTAATGTTAGAAAACATAAAAAAATAAAAGGACTAATGAGACCTGCATGGTATGAATTACTAGGGAAAGCTGTAGGATTAGGGATATATAACAATCAACTTGTGCTTCTGTTCGTCAATCCAACAAATATTTCCCTTAGATTTTTCTAAGAAACAACTTTACATAATGACTCATACTAAGTTCTGATATGTTTTTAACATGTGAACACTTTTCTGATCTCCTAGATGATACATGCTTCCTCATTGGCGATTCTTTGAATTTTTTGGTAAAATGAAAAGAAAGACTTTAAATAGGATCGACATCTTAACAGTGATGAGCTTTAACGTGTTTGCACTTTCCATCATCTGTCAGTTCAAACTTCCTATTTCTGATACTTTTAACCACGAGTCGTGGTAGCTGGTGGCATGGATAACATGACAACGTGTTAATTCTTGTTAATAAAGACAATGAAACAGATCAAGAATACACTTTCGTGTCTGCCGGATATTTGCATTTTAAAAGTTAAGAAGATCGTTCTATACTTTTTTTAAAGCCGTAAACCATTTATATTATAAATGTGTATACCAAATCGGGAATATCAAGTAAAACAGAGAGTTTATATATACAAGAAGACAATGACTCAGTCACAAAAGGTTCAAATAAAAGTCTTTATTTTTCGTGCAACGTTCATGACAGAAATTATTTCACGTTCAACGTGAAATTATGTCTTATTTCACGTTTTTTCCGTGCAAGCACCACCCTGGTCAAACCAAAGGCTTTCGGTTAGTGTATACTGCTTTTCCCTACTGCAAGCAGCATGTTGGAGTAAGAACAATGAATTGACTTTCAGAATAATAGAAGAGTGAATTGCAGTTCTGTAGAGTAAGAAAAAAGACTTGGCTTTCAGAATTATAGATGAGCAACTTTTAGTTCTGTAGAGTTAGAACAAAGACTTGACTTTCAGAAAAATAGATGAGTGACTTGTAGTTCTGTAGAGTAAGAAAAAAGACTTGGATTTCAGAGCAAAGACTTTAACTTTCAGAATTATAGATGAGCGACTTGTAGTTCTGTAGAGTAAGAACAAAGACTTGACTTTCAGAAAAATAGAAGAGTGAATTGCAGTTCTGTATAGTAAGAACAAAGACTTGACTTTCAGAATAATATGAGTGAGTTGAAGTTCTGCAGAGTAAGACAAAAAACTTGACTTTCAGAGCAAAGACTTCAACTTTCAGAATAATATAAGAGTGAATTGCAGTTCTGTACAGTAAGAACAAAGACTTGACTTTCAGAATAATAGAAGAGTAAATTGCAGTTCTGTACAGTAAGAACAAAGACTTGACTTTCAGAATAAAAGATGAGCAACTTGTAGTTCTGTAGAATAAGAACAAAGACTTGGCTTTCAGAATAATAGATGAGTGAGTTGAAGTTCTGTACAGTTAGAAAAAAGACTTGGCTTTCAGAGCAAAGACTTTAACTTTCAGAATAATAGATGAGTAACTTGTAGTTCTGTAGAGTAAGAACAAAGGCTTGACTTTCAGAATAATAGATGAGTGACTTGTAGTTCTGTTTAGTAAGAACAAAGACTTGACTTTCAGAATAATAGAAGAGTAAATTGCAGTTCTGTACAGTAAGAACAAAGACTTGACTTTCAGAATAAAAGATGAGCAACTTGTAGTTCTGTAGAATAAGAACAAAGACTTGGCTTTCAGAATAATAGATGAGTGAGTTGAAGTTCTGTAGAGTTAGAAAAAAGACTTGGCTTTCAGAGCAAAGACTTTAACTTTCAGAATAATAGATGAGTAACTTGTAGTTCTGTAGAGTAAGAACAAAGGCTTGACTTTCAGAATAATAGATGAGTGACTTGTAGTTCTGTTTAGTAAGAACAAAGACTTGACTTTCAGAATAATAGATGAGTGACTTGTAGTTCTGTATAGTAAGAACAAAGACTTGACTTTCAGAATAATAAATGAGTGACATGTAGTTCTGTATAGTAAGAACAAAGACTTGACTTTCAGAATAATAAACGAGAGACGTGTAGTTCTGTAGAGTTAGAAAAAAGACTTGGCTTTCAGAGCAAAGACTTTAACTTTCAGAATAATAGATGAGTGACTTGTAGTTCTGTAGAGTAAGAACAAAGACTTGACTTTCAGAATAATTAAGATGAGTGACTTGTAGTTCTGTAGAGTAAGAACAAAGACTTGACTTTCAGAATAATAGATGAGTGCCTTGTAGTTCTGTATAGTAAGAACAAAGACTTGACTTTCAGAATAATAGATGAGTGACTTGTAGTTCTGTAGAGTAAGAAAAAAGACTTGGCTTTCAGAGCAAACACTTTAACTTTCAGAATAATAGATGAGTGACTTGTAGTTCTGTATCTGAATGCAACTTCTTAAAGGTCAAAATTATAGTTCAATGATCACCTTAAAGTGGAGAAGACGTTACTAAGTTATGAAATTTGTGTCTATAGATATAAGAAGTTGTGGTATGAGTGCCAATGAGACAACTCTCCATCCAAGTCAAAATTTATAAAAGTAAACCATTATAATCCATTTGTCCTTTTGAACAATAAAGTATGTTAAAACTATACCTTTAAGAGAAAAAGTTGCCTCAATGGTCTTGTGATAACATGCTCACCTCAAATGCCCCATAGGATATAGGTCAGGTCAAACCAAAGGCTTTCGGTTAGTGTATACTGCTTTTCCCTACTGCAAGCAGCATGTTGGAGTAAGAACAATGAATTGACTTTCAGAATAATAGAAGAGTGAATTGCAGTTCTGTAGAGTAAGAAAAAAGACTTGGCTTTCAGAATTATAGATGAGCGACTTTTAGTTCTGTAGAGTAAGAACAAAGACTTGACTTTCAGAATAATAGATGAGTGACTTGTAGTTCTGTAGAGTAAGAAAAAAGACTTGGCTTTCAGAGCAAAGACTTGACTTTCAGAATAATAGATGAGTGACTTGTAGTTCTGTAGAGTAAGAAAAAAGACTTGGCTTTCAGAGCAAAGACTTGACTTTCAGAGTAATAGATGAGTGACTTGTAGTTCTGTAGAGTAAGAGCAAAGACTTGACTATCAGAATAATAGATGAGTGACTTGTAGTTCTGTATAGTAAGAACAAAGACTTGACTTTCAGAATAATAGATGAGTGACTTGTAGTTCTGTATAGTAAGAACAAAGACTTGACTTTCAGAATAATAGATGAGTGACTTGTAGTTCTGTAGAGTAAGAACAAAGACTTGACTTTCAGAATAATAGATGAGAGACTTGTAGTTCTGTAGACTTATGTTAATGTCACCTAGCCTGTAAAGAATTCAGTTCAGTATATTGGTATAGTATACAACAGGGTTCAGAGTCATTTTACATTAATACTATGTCATCCTGAAAAAAAGATAACTGACTGTACATTAAAAAGCTATCCATTCTTTCTTTAGACTGTTATCAAATTTCTTTATGATTATCTAGACAAAATTGTATGGCAGAGCATTGATTTCATTTGATGGATATTTATATATACTAAGAATCTAAAAATATATCATAGGATATTTTCAAATAAAAGTAGTTAAAAATTTTCTGTTAAATTTTTGAAGCAGTTCTGTGGTCTTTGAACTAATTTTATATTGCAAGTACAGGATAAATGATAATTTATAAATAGATATATTTGGTCTTATTATTTTTCAGCAATCTATAAGCGATGCTTCCACATTTAGCCAAGGTAGTAGGGCTTATTTCTTTGACAACCCAAGGCGATATGACAGTGATGATGATCTTCTCAGAGGAAGGTAATAGTTTGTTTTTAAAAAAGCTTTCCACAAAATCTGTCTTCACAGGCTATGCTACTATACAAATGATGAGAATTAAGATTTGAAAAGAACAAACTGTGATAAAAGGAAGAAACCTGAGTCATTTTCTTTAGTACTTATATATGTGATTGATATAAAAAAAAAAACTATAATAAAAATGACATATATGACCAAAAGAAATCGAAAGGTCATCTTACAATCAAAAAATATTTGTACAATATAAAAGTTGTAAATAAATTTACTAAAAACTATCACATATCTACTATAGAAACTGCTATAAAATCCAGTGCAGCATGTAATGTCTGTAATATTTTCATTAATCCAGTGTCACAAAATTTTTTTTTCATCATGAAGGGTAAAACAAATAGCGATATGATGATGTTTCAAATAGAAGTATAGCACTGAGATCAGCAGTATTTTTAAATTTGTGATTTTTAATTCCAGCTATGAATATAGTTATGCACAGTCAATAAACAGCGAAACTAGGCACACTCCCAGACAGACACCTAGAGCAACACCTAAAGGTACCCCATATGGAACTCCAAGGATGTATGGTGGGATTAATGCTAGCAGTGGAAATACACCAAATACACATTATGGAAGTTACCAAAACTATAATTAGAACATAATAATGGGTTTTAAAGGCATTTGAACTGCCTACATCACAACTTTTGATAGCTTCCAAATAATATGGAGTAAGACTAAGCTTTGAAATACATAAAAAAAAATATGGTCAATATCCCATATATTTGAATTGGTACTTTTTTACATTAAAAATTTTATCAATGGTATATAACATTAAACAAATATGATTTTGAATATGATCTATCTATATTAGTAGTGATGAAGTCCTTGTTTTGCAAATTTGGTCTGTTGGATCAAATGTCCAGTTAAATGCCAATTCCTCTCTTAAGCTATAAAATAAAGACAAATGTTAAAGATTATTTGAAAACAAGTTGTACACAAATTTTAAAGATCAAGCAACCTAGAATTATCATAGTATATTATTTGTATACTGTTATGTCATCCAGATAACTTTACAGGAAATGGCTTTTTACTTTAATAAAATTGAGAATGGAAATGGGGAATATGTCAAAGAGACAACCTGGCCAAACAGCCGAAGGCCACCAATGAGTCTTCAACACAGCGAGAAAATCCCGCACACGGAGGTGATCCTCAGCTGGCCCCTAAATAAAAATGTGTACTAGTTTAGTGAAAATGGACGTCATACTAAACTCCAAAACATATAAATGAACTAAAATTAAAAAAACATACAAGACTAACAAAGGCCTAAATATAGTTGACATTAATGAAATAATTTTATTCTGAGATACTTGTTAATTCATGATGTAGTATAATTCTATTTATTCTATTTAAAAAAATGATAGACTACCGGTATGTCCCTTCAAAAATAATTTGTACAGCATATATACTTGAGTGCATACAAAGTACAACAAAGTGAAGTTTGCTTGTTTGTTAGATGGGCCATAAATCAATATATTGATTTGTTTCTATATATACAATACTGGGAATTCATTATTATTCATGGGATACCAACTTTCAGAGATAATGGTGAACCATGAAATTAAATGTTCAACAAAGTCAAAATTTCTGTAGGCTTGTATGCAGACTTTGATAAAAAAAAATTATTTTCAAACAGAAAGCAAAAGTCACCAAAATATTACACAGAAAACTAAGAATTGAGCAACATCATACATGAGCCCTGCTAAAAAATCAGGAGTTAAGTTTTGTACTTCAATAGGGTAAGTAGTTCCTGCTCATCTGTTGCACCTGTTGTGTTGCTAATTATACAAATCAGCAGGTACTATCAATTTTTAAACATATTTAGGTCAAATAAAAAAAGATGTTGCGATGGTTTCCCAACAGAACCTAATTTGGAGCTGAGATCCCAATATAATTTTATGAGGATTTCTCGAACTAACTTTTCACCTGATTTATGGAACAAACTTCTCACCAACATAACAGTTAATGTAACTTAAAAAAATTAAAGACCACCCTATACTTAATGACATCTAAATATGAAGAGAAATTTTAATTTATTTAAGTGACAAAATAAATACTTTTGTTGAACACAATTTTTTTACATGAGTGACAACTGAATTATAGTTTATTAAAACTGATTGAAGCAATAAACATAAATGGCATATTGTAGATGATTTCCTGGTAGTAATGAAAGTTTTGCTTTAAAAATGCATCTTATTATCATCAGATACTGTGGTGAAGTAACTGAATAATTTGAATGGTGAAGATTAAACATTGAGAATTCATCATGAAATAGATTATCTATTTTATCAAAATGACTTTACTTAGCCTTGTAACAATGTGTTACTATGGTTTTGGAATCAAAAGTTTTTATATATATATATCAGTTAGCATTGTAACATTCCATTTTCAATTCATAGAAATATTATATTATTGCATGTAGACAAATGTTTTATCATTTTTTCAAATCTTTTACCAGTGATTTTTATGATTTTGTAGCAAAACTATAGGATATTTTTTCTCTTTGTTTATTAAGAATAAATGATATACAAAAAGTATATATAAATTATCAGGTACTATAATTGTTGTGCAAAAAAAAAACGTAATTAAATGGTAAAATAGTTTTTGAACAGATTAAGGGAGTTTATTTTATATTTATTTGTTTATTTATTTGTAGCTTTGTAGAAAGTTTTTGAAGTACATTTGTAAAATGATATACCAGTGAAAATAGATTGGTTGTGAGAATTTGATGTTTGCTGTGAGAATTTTATTTTTTTATCTTAAAATCTGATTTTTTAGGAGTAAACATTTTACAATACCCTTCCCCTTTCATTGGCTACTGTTTATCTGAATGCCTAGACATCTTTTCTTTTTAGATCTTTGCTTCAAACTTAGTGGGAAAGGGTGGATAGACAATGTCACAATAATTTTCTTACTTTATTTGCTTCTCATGTTGATATTCTTGCATAAATCCAGATAAAATAGTTTGTTATTTGGAGAGAAATATGACACTTAGTTCTGCCATTATGCTGCACCATATCTGTTTTGTTGTTGTAAATTTTGAAGAAAATTAGAAACAGAAAAGATATTGGGAAAAAATAACATAAAATGAGGAAAATGAACTAATATTTATTTTGATGAGATTTTCATATACAAAAATGTGCAGACTGTTTTGGGTTATATCTTAAAAAATAAGCAGGATGAATTCTACTTTTAAACAAAATAATAATGATGGACTCAAGTAGGCTAATATTTTCATTTGTGCTTGGCTGAAAATGGCAAACCCTTTTTCTTAGATAAGTTTATTTTTAGAGCTGGTCATAGAAATTTCAGTTTTTGTGAACTTGATGTTATTACAAAACATACTATTGCTTATAAAATGATCATGATCAAATTAATGGAACAATAATGAAATTAAATATGTGATGTATGAACATGATTTGTCTAAATATCTAGTCGTGTATATATATTTTAAGTTGTAATTATGAACAATGTATGTGAAGAAAAGTTTTATTAAATATGGTGAAAGAATTATATTAAATAATTTTATTTAAATATATGAGAGTTCTTAATTTGATATTGCAATACAGTAACCAGTTTAATTGATTGTTAAACTTATGACATGGAGTGTCAGTTTGTTAGACCTATCATAGGTTTTCCAATCTAAACTTTGGAATACTCTCAGGGTCCATATGCACATGTTTGTGAACTTCCATGTCCATTTGGTAAAGATTTAAGTCTGCATCCAGGTAAAAGAGGCTACTGTGATCCACATTTCATACTTCATTGATTTCCTTTAAGTTTTATGTTAGAGTTCATATCTCTATAACAATAAGTAATAAGATCATCTAAATGTGTGTAAATATACAGTCGATTCTTGTTATGTGGAAGTCAGCCGGACAGGAAAAATATTTCGAGATATCGGTAGTTTGACTCAAATGAATACTGGATGTTTGATAGACCAAGGGACATAACTCTTGCTTAGTTTGGGAAGGCTAATGACTCAAATGAATACTGGATGTTTGATAGATTAAGGGACATAACTCTTGCTTAGTTTGGGAAGGCTAAAATAAATCCAGATGAATATGGGTAGGGGATCAATAGTCTAGTCTTAAGTTCTGTGTATCTGTACACACATGTAATGGTCTTTTATTATTATAATAAGATTATATGTTTTTTTTTCTCTAAGTTGTTTTTTTACACAGTCACAATTTTTTCTGTCATTTATTTTGGTGATTAGATCAGCATTTAGGGTAAACGAGTTAACTGTGACTTACATTTGATGCTTCATTGACTTTGGTTTAGCTTACATCCAAGTTCATATCTCACTGCATTTTAAGGAGTAGGCAAAAATAGGTCACTGTGATATAAATTTCATGCTTCATTGACTTTAGTGAAGATTTTAGTCTGAGTATCATTCAATTTGTATCTGTAAGTCATAGGATCATATAAACATTTGTAAATAAACATTTTAAGGAATAAGTAAGAAGCCAGACAGAGATCACTATGACCTACCGGTACATTTCATACTTAGTTGAATTTGAATTAGTAATAAGATCATCTAAACTTGTATTAATATTCATTTTTGGGAGTAGGTCAGCATTCAGGCAAAAGTGAGTCATTGTGACCTTAATTATAGGCTTCATTGACTTTAGTTAAGTTTTATGTTTCAGTTCATATCTAGGTAACTGTAAGTAATAGGATGATCTAAACTTGTGTAAATATATATTTTTGGAAGTAGGTCAATATTCAGACAAAAGTAGGTCACTCACCATATGTGTGATCTATATGTTTCATGTTTCATTAACTTTGTTAGTCTGACTTAATATATGGGTTAATAGAATTGTTTAAACTTAAAAAAAAATATCTTGTGGAAATAGGTCTGCATCTGTGCAGAAGTAGATCACTGTGACTTATATATCAATACTTCAAAGTCAATATTTCAAGAACTATAAG